CAGCCATCAGCGTCAGTGCCTTTGTGCAGCCTAGTGGGGAAGTAAGATGTAGCCAAGCCCTGCTTACTGAGTCAGTCATGTAAGCATCTTAGTGCTTTGCTGCTTTGAAGGTTGAGAAAGTTCAATTAAGAAAAAATCTGTTAGCTTTTAATGTTTTAGCCCTCAACAGGTTTCTGGAGGGGACACAAACAATCCATTTAATTATTATTTTTTGACAAGGGGGGGGGGGGTCCCCCGCATATAAATTTCACCCCAAAGCCCCTCTGTTGGGGCCCCCCCCCCCCCCCCCCCCCCCCCCCCTTATATTTTATTCCGTAGAGTAAAAAAATGTTGCTAAGCAACGTTGATGCTGCAACAAAGTGGTAGTTGACGTCCTCATCTGCAGCATTCAGCGGCCAGGCTTGGTAGAAGGTGGGAACAGGAAACATCTACTGATGCTAGTGATCATTTCCAGTCCTCTGGCGCCCCCTGGTGGTTGGCACTGCGCTGTGTTTCTACGGTGACCAATGGGAGAGATTTACTTTTCAATAGTAAATATAAAACGATATCATTTGCAATGCCGTTAATGACTTCCATTGTTTGGGTTCATTCATTAAATTACGCCAATATTTATGTGGTTTATTCGAATAATTAACCGTGTGTGTCGTTGGCAGATCATTCTGTAGATACAGAGTACACTTAGTTGATCTGATTTATTGTAAAAGTCAAAGTTCATACATTTGAGTGGCAGGAAGATCGGCACGAAACACTGGCGGTTCTTTACCTCTAGGTGGCAGCATCTCTCTCAACATGACTAAAAATGACTTTACCATTAAGGTCCTGATAACTACGGAGATCATCAGCAGGACAGAGAGGACACTGACTGACAAAAGAAACCGAAAAGACACCCTATGGACACTGATTCTGATTTAAACCATAAAGCTTAAATTAATTAAATTCATTTTTTTTGTATCTCCAAACCCAACACACATACACACGAACAAACGTAATTATTGTTGTGAAAATCATTTAGCTTTTAGCGTAGCCCTTGCTGATGTTTTATTTGGGATTAAACACTGAGTGATTCATTACTCATGCTCATGTTTTTCCACCATTTAAAAAACGTACTGTATAAAAATACAGCGGGACGCTTGTTCGACTGCTTTCTCTACTGAGAAAAGAACTCATCCTCCCAATTTGTTTTTGCCGTCTGTGAGTAACCCGCCGACGTGGACACGTGACCTGAACTGGGCCGTGGCATTGAGCGCTTTATGGCACCGAGGGATCAGCATCTTCATCTTCATCGTCCCTGCGTTACTCCTCGCGGTTTTGTATAACTTGGGGGGGTCGAGACACTCAACTGTTTTTTGTGTGTTTTATTGTTCACAGGCTGTGATCACTTGAGGAGTATTACATGTGGTGGATGCTCATGTGGTTTGTTACAGACGGAATAAAGTCTCCCCACGAGATGCCTTTGATCACTCAGACATCTTGTGATCTACAGATTGGTGGCGCGTGCAGACGGCTGCAGGTGTAGACGGGGTATCGACACTATTTGGACTATTTGGACTCATGTGACACGGTGCTTTCTAATAAGAAGTGATGTTTCACAAAGTGTTTAATGTTTTTCTAATCTTTTGAAATGGGCCGAGATATTTGACCAAATTTAACTCAATGTAAACTCACTTTATTTCATGTGCTTTCAACAACATCTCCCTGTTTTCATCTGCCAAACTGTTTTTGTCTTGAATGATAAAATTGTTGACATACGCTGTGACTGTTCTAGCTGCTGATGACCTTTCGTGTGAAGAATATAGATAATTAAAAGGAAGCATGTCGTCCAGTTAAACTGCAGGAATAGTTTGCCTACCTAACACGTGATTGCGGTTCACTATCTGCTGGAGATTCCTCCTCACAGGTTGCATTCGCCCATAAGCTGCGAGCGGTTCAAACTAAGTCATTCCTTTTCCTCGTGTTGTGAATGTACAGGCCTCGGGCGTTAGAAGTGAAAGCAGAAATGTGGGTGAGTTCTTGACGTTTTGCCGCGTGAGGCCCCTGCTTGGACACATCGCATGGCAGGAGGAGGACGCGCGAGTCATTCAGGTTTGGAAAATCTTGGGTGTTTTATTTTTTTATTTGAAGTATTGCATCCTCAACGTACACGGCTAGAATCATCATCATCAGACTGCATGTTTCACAAAGGATGGCCACAGGTTCAGAACAACAGGGCGACTCCCTGCTGGGGCCGCTCGTCCGCTTCGCCTCCCCGACCCCGTCTGCCGGAGGGCCGGCGGCGGGGCCCGACTGCGAAAAGCGGAACTCGGCGCTCCAGGAGAGTTAACCCTGAACACGGGTCAACATGTCTACACCTTAAACACGGGGAGTACGGACGTAGCTTCGTGGTCACTTATGAGGATATGCTATTGTGTGGTATCTTCCGCACCAACACGGGCTGATCCAGGACCAGTCGGCACTCAGCTGACGGTGGAGCTCAGTCAGCTTTTAGTGCAAAAATCATAGCTGCTGATTTTTTTTTTTTTGGAGCATTCACTCTCAGGGGATTCAAACCCGACACTGGACGCGTTTGTCTGTTTGTGACAAACAGCGGCCAGACGTCTGATGTTTACTGAGCAGCAGGTGAACCGAGATCAGTGCAGACTAGTGACGGGCCAGGTGCCCCTCTGAAAGCTCAGCCTGGGTAAGAACATTGAGCGCACACACTCACTCACTCACTCACACACTCACACACTCGCACGCACACGCGGCACCTGGCTGCAGCAAAAGCATATCGTATAGTTGGATTTCTCTCGTCCGGGGGTAAAGATCAGATTGGTTTTGCACATGAGGCAATGGAGGGAGGGCCAGAGAGCTTTCACACACCAACACCACCACAATTGTCCCAATGCAGTACAAAATGTATTGTGGAGTGTGAGCAGGTTGAACACCTGTTTGTGGCCAAACCCGGGACCCTTTCCCCCCCCTGTCAGCTGTGCAGGTTCATAAAACCAACATATGAAGATGAAAACAAAAAACAAAAGAGTTGAAGGTTTAGAACTCAAACAGGGGAAGAATACATGTAAACTCTCCCTCGGAGAGCGAGAGATGAAGAGAGAGGACACTGAGGTGTTCTGAGGTGGTTTTGGCATATTTCTTCTCTTTTTGTTTGTTTCCTCATATGATCGAGCACCAGAAACGATGACTTTCTGATTCAGCGCTTAGTCCAACGACCTCAACACAGCCCCCGCGAGGAGCGCGCACGTCAAACTCTACACTTCCCGATTGGCCTTCGGAGAAAAACCAGGTGATTTGTTCGGTTTCGTTTATTGTTTCTTTGAGTCCTCAGTTGGAGGCATTGGATTGTAAATGTAAGACACATTTTGTCAACTAAAACACGAGTCTAATAGAGACTACAATCCTCCTAAGAGAGGAAAGTGGAGTTTAGACCCCTTTAATTGTGTAGTAGCTGGCGCAGTATTTGCCAGTAAAGTCTTGGCTATCATTAAGCCTTGTACAGAGGTGACCCCCCCCCCCCCACACAACCCCCCGGGCCTGTACTACTGACCCCAACGCAACCTGGCGTACCCAAAGGCTGGGGATTCAAACCATCCTGGCTGTGTTGTTGTTTTGGGTCAGCGTTTATGGTACAGGCATAGTATAGAGTGTTGTTAGGGGGAGTGGGGGGGGGGCAGCTCTGGACAAGGCGACTCTAGACAGGCGGGGCTCAGCACTAGGAGCAGCTTAGGGGCCAATTACATTTCAAGTGTCCACTGAATAAAATATCCGAAAAACAAGAAAACAAAATGGCTACATTTCATGTCCCCTCCCACCCGCCCCCCAAAAACACAATCGACAAAAAGCCATCAAATATACAATTTTTAAAATAAGGAATGAGGAATATATAAGCATCAAACAGAGGAGTAAAGTAAGACAGAACCAAAATAAGTTAACTTTTTTTTTTATCCCCACAGCTTGTCTTCTTTGAGAAATAAATATTTAAAAAGGGTGTTATATATTTTTTTTCTTTCACATACAAAAGGATTCACGCGTGATCCATGAGAGAAAGGAAGGTGAAAATAAAATGAAAACAAATACAGAGAACTGTGGCTGAAGTGCAATTCTTAATGCCAGTGGAGTTGGGGGTCGACATCGTACAACCCGTTTTCTTACTTTTCTCTTCAGATCACCTGACCACCAGTGGAATGCCGAATACAAAGACCCCCCCCCGGTCATGAATATTATAAACAGGAGAGAAAGTAAGTCAAATAAATATATAAGAGTGCCACACAAACTCATCAGAAGTCATACTGGGTCGATTATCCACAACGGGGAGTTGCTCTATTGTTTTTTTTTTTTTTTTAAATCACATTAAAGAGTAACTTTTCTATTTCTTCTCAGGGTAGCGACAGGATGAGTAACTTATAAAAGTTTCCACCTGCAACTTGAGCGAGTCCAATAGTGTTTAATACCCATCCGCAGCCAGTCTAAAGAGGATAAAGTCTTTCCAAAAATGGAATTTAAAATACACGATAAACACAGGTCAAACAGCAACAGAGGCAATAGTTCTATCCATGAGCTCTAACTTCTTTTTCTTTTTTTTTAAACTCCTTTTTAAGGTTTAATTCATTAAGCTATGTCTATGTACAAAACAAACAAAAAATAAATCTGCTTTTTGGACGGTGACACAGTCTTTAGGGGAAGGAGAGAGGGAAAAAAAAGAAAAAAGAAAGAGGATTTTCTGACGAGACCAAAGGGACTTATTGCTTCTTACTGCTGGAAAGAGGAGAGACAGTTTGTTGTCGTTGGACTTTTTCATTGTTGCTGTTGTTTGTTTTGTGCCGTTTCTATGGACAGCTCTAAAGTAGGCAAGTGCAGGATAGCTTGTCGTATAGCTGCTTGTCGAGTGGGAGAGAAACCAAAACAAAAAACACACACAAGTCACAATTTATACCGTGGAAATGAACTGAGCCCCCACATTCGACAGGAATGTTGTTGTTGTTGTTTTTTCTCCATTTTTTTGTGTGTGTGTGTGTGTGTGTGTGTGTGTGGTGTGTTTTTTCCTCCGTGCTCGGTCGGGAAACAATCGGCGCAGACACACTTTGTTTTGCTTTAAAAGCTTAGTGGCGGTGCGTCTGAGTGGGTCTGTTTCACAATAGCACCGTTATGAGCTTCAAGGCGTCCGCTTTGTCCAGCAATGAAAACACAATAAGACGAGGACAGAACGCAGCGCCCGGAGGGGGTCTTTTAGGGCCGAGCTGTGTTGATGTAGCAAAGTTCACCCACACTGTTGATTATAGTCCAGATTAGATGTGCTCCCGTTTATCCAGACCCAACACCGGGAAGTTGAAAAGGGTTACACGGGACAAAACGTGTTTCACAGGACTCACACACACACACACACACACACACCACAGAACCCAAGAGAACATTATTTCAATATCATGTGAATTTAAGTGCATTTTGAATCAAATCAGGGGTTGTGCCTTCTTCAAAGATGTCATTTGACAGGTTGAGAAAATAAAATAAGTAAAATGATTATTGTTAGGGTTTTAAAATCATGGGGATACGGTTTTTTTTTTTGTCAAGTCTCTGATCTCCCTTTGAACAAATCAACCGGCAGTTTCCCGTCGCTGTGTTTGGGTCCCTGCTGTCGGTCAGAGCGGCTCGGCGTGCAGCGGCGCGGAGCTCCTCTAACTGAGCAGGAGGAGAGGGACGGGAACTAAACGGTTGGAGCTGGAGGAGGGAGAGAGGGGCTGGGGGGGGGGTGGGGCAGGAACGACAGGAATGCTGTTAGCTGGGGGGGGGAGGAGGGCGTGGCCGCTATCGCCAGAGGCGACTGGGCGTGTGGGCGTAGGCATTGGCTGGATGGAGCAACGAATGGGAGGACGGGAAGGGTTTGGCGGCGGGGAGGTCGGTGGCGGCGGGGCTTTAGGAGGAGAAGGCGAGTTTGACACTGCAGGAGGAGTAGCCCTCGTCGCTGCCCATGCTCTGCAGGCTGCTGTGGTCGTCCAGGTCGCTGGTGCTGGCCGTGCTCACACTGTCCAGCTCTCCATGGGAGAACTCCGTGCTTTCCACGTCCACCTCGATCTCCTCTGCAGGGGGGGACGGACAGACGGAGGGAGGGACAGGGGAGAGGGGGGGCGGAGAGAAATACATGAATGCCAGGACAATGAGGTTGACTTAAGGATGCAACATTGTCTACAAATTCCACTATGTCACAATGTGTTATTTATAGTAAAACACTTTATTTACAGTCAAATTATAGTAAAACGGGTCAAATTGCCCCTAGTGCAGGGGAAGGGGTTGATGGTAGTCAATATATATATATATATCCGGTATATAAATATATTTTTCTGGAGCTCCCTTTGTTCAGAGTCGGAGCTGTCGAACCAGAAGGGTGGAGCCCCACGCTGTCCATGGGTATCCTCTCGCCCTCCCCGGGGCTCCCTTGGTTACAGCACCGCTGCCTCCCTTCAGCAGCTCCAGCTGGCGGTGAGGGGCCTCCGCTCCCGCTCCAGAGAATCCAGCTGGTATGGGCTCTTCCTGTCCGCCTCTTCAAGTTTCTGCTCGGGAGAAAGGGAAGCGATGAGCCACCCGACCTCTGGGGGGGGGGGGGGGGCACTGCGAGACGGGAACAGTGTGTAGGAGGCAGAGGAGGTCGCCGGATATTATTTGAAAAAGGGCGTAGACAAGGAGAAGCGAGACAGGTGGGTGCAGGATGGTTGAGAGCAAGACGGGCTCGCGACACAATTCCCGCCTCCTCCGATACCCCGTGAAATGATGTCCCTCACCTGCCTCGTTTGCACCGCGTCGCCTCCGATTAGGCCTCGCGCCGCCACGACGCCGTGACCCCGCCCACCCCCCCATCCCGACGCACCAAAACAATGGGCCGTCAACGAGAGACGCGAGACCCGAGCTGACAGCAGCAGGAGGGCTAAGTGGTGACGGCTTGAGTGGAAGGAGCAGCATGAAGCAGGACGTTGTAACACGTCACATGCTCCGGGGAGGCGGGGTTTCCGCCAGCGACCGGCTGAACACAGGTGACATTTCGGCCAAAGTCAGTTGTGTCAGAAATGCAGGATATGCACACAAGAGCGAGTCCCAGCAGCCGCACATTCACGTACGTATTAAGAATGATCGCGGCGGACGATAGTTTTGTCAGAACAAATATAATCAAAGTAGGGATTCATTTGTTTTATGCCATTAGGTCCACTCGTCACTGGAGCAATGAATTGAGGTCTGGTTCTACTCTCTGCGTCTCCATCACATTTTTATGTCTTGTCAATTCCATTTCAGATGTCACCGATTGGTTTCGCTACTGCGATTGCTTAATTCCTCCTTGGGCACGTGGTTCACATTCATCCTGTTATCCTTCACCTTTATATGTGCTTTGGCTTTGTTGAGCAGGCCCAGGGTGGTGTGGCGGTTGCAGTCGGGTCCCAGGGGTATGAGGGCCTTCAACCTCTCCAGACAGAGCCGCAGGTGAGCTCGTCTGCACAGGAAGGAAAGAAAGAAAAGAGAAAATGGAATGATTAGCCACATGACCACGGGCTGTACAGTGAAATGCAAACTGTTGGCGTATGAATGTCGTAAACCGTCTCACTCTATAGAAGCTACAACTTAAATAGAAGATTCTTAAAAAGGGGAGAGTTCACCCTAAGCGAGGTTTAAAGCCCGACCCCCTACAGGGTCCTGAGCATCTGAGGGGGACTCATTTCAGAAACACTGTTACTTTGTGACAGTCAGCCAGCTGCAGACTCCAGGCTCGTGTTTTGTAAGTTCTCAGCTGATGGTTCACACGACACCGCAGGTTGCTATGATTCACGTCTCGTGTGCTCCTCGGGACCGCACTCTAGCTATTTTGCGCCCAGCTTTAGTTACTCCTCTCGTCTGCATTACAAACAAGTTTTGGCTGAGCGAGTGTGTGTGTGTGTGTGTGAGGGAGGGTTTTTGTGGGGGGGTGTAATGGCATTTCCCGGACCCCGCTCGGCTCTGCCCTCCATCATCCTGACAGTCCCTTAGTCCAGGACTGCAGACATGCCAGTGGTACTATATATCCTGCTAATGGCTCCCACTTAAGAGGTATAGGGTGATAATTGTGGTTATAACCCAATCAGCGCTGCATTACCAGCAGCAGCCCTCTCAGCTAGCCAGGAGGGAGAAGTGGAGACACACATTAAGAGCCGACGGAGCCACCCAGGACCTCAGGTACTATCTAGAATCTCTGGGGGAGATGACGACCCAGGGGACCACGGCAAGGAATTCACAGAAGCGACCGCGGCGGGCTGCGTTCAGACCAGTGGAGACATGCGAGCACTGAAGTACATCTGCACGCGTTCAGCTTGGACGGCACTGATAAGTTGTTGTTTTTTGAGCCGGGGGGGTTTGTAATGATCATCCGTCCGGCTCTGGTCATCAGTCTTTGTATTCAGTTGTGATTACAGGAGAGAGCCCACCTTTGCTCTTTATCTGTGAAATGTCTACGTGCGTTGGTCTCGCCTGAGCCTGAACACACACACACACACACACACACACACACTTGTATGCACTTGCGCCCGTCTACAGAAATCAACTAGCAATTAATCGCTTTCTATTGTGATGGTATAGGCAGCTCCTCTCGGGAGATGTCTTGGTGGTGCTGCTGACTGAACGCTCACATTATCACCATTTTGTTTAACAATGTAATCCAGATTACACGATCATTAAATACCAGGCATCTCTTCTCCAACTTGCCACGCTCGCTGCAGAAACCATTCACAAATGAAGTGGGCCATGTACGGGGGAACGTTTTCAGCATTGCTGATACATTATTTATTCAGCAGCTGCAGAGCTGACACAGTGTATTTGACATTACATGTAAAAAAAACAAAAGCCATACTGTGAACGTTCAGAGGACGCGTCTCACTGTGAGAACATGTTGTACGCGCTAACGTTCTCCTGAGTCACAAACCCAGAGGGAGGGTGGGGGGGGGGGCAGGGTGGAGGTGGAGGGCGCCTGATAAAGAACGACAGATGTGAAGGGAGAGCGGGACACGCTGGACTTGTACTGCCGCGTGTGTCTGCTGGCCTCGCGTTAACACACGCCAGGCGCCAGGAGGCCCCTCACCCTGTCGACGCCAAAACGGCCATCTCGGCAGACGACCTCAGATAACCAACAACCCCCCCCCCCCTCCTCCTCCTCCTCTGCCTGACCCAGACTGACATGATGAATGCGGGGAGAGGAGGCGAGGGGCACGCCGACCGCACGGGCAGCGCATATCTCACGCCGGCCCCGATGAACGAAAACCTCCCATTATGGAGCGTGGAGACCTGCCGCTTTGTGCCGAGTCAGTGTTGAAACATGCAGCAGCCACACCGGCAACCTTCCGCATGTGCCGCTGGGCGGGCGGGACGCGTGCCCCCTCAGCGCGCCTCTCATTGGTACACAGAACATGACAAAACGTCTGGCGGGACATTTGTCCTAATCTCTGCGTGCACGATGTGCTCTGATCTGATACCGCCGGCAAAGAAGAGAAAAAAAAAGGTGGTGCCGGGAGGAACAGTGTGTTACTGTGTGTGACTGTGACAGAAGGAGAAGAGAAGTCAGCGCTCCACGCGAGGCTGCGTGGTAATCGGGACTCAGAACTCAGAATCAGAACTCATTCTGGGGAGAGGAAAAAAAAAAAAAACATGATGTCCTCCTGCGACTAAAAACAGGCAACTCAAGATAATGGAGGAGACTGGTTTATCTGCACCACCAGCACTATCGCTTACCGTCTCCCTGAAGGGTTAAAGTTCAAGCGCTACTAGCTAGTGGCGATGCCCCAGAGGCGGGTCTCTAATCCCCCCCCCCGAAAGGCTTGTTTATCGTGTAGACCCACGGCCCAGAGAGCTTAAGCCACTTGCGGCTTACGATATGAGTGGCGGCTTGTGACCATTAATACCTGCGTGCCTCGGCCCTCCTGCAGCTGGGCGGCCCCCCCGCGTCGGGCCACGGGGCTTACCGCTTCCCCCGGGTCCTTATAGAAGACGCTAGTAACACAAAGACAGCCGTGGCTTTGCCGTGCGGCCCCCCTAGCTCCGCGTCCTCGGTCGCCACTGGAGGTGGAGCGCAGTTTGGTTGAAGGTTGTGACATCACAGGCCGACAGGCCGCGTCAGCAGATTAGTGTTCATGCGGCGTTGCTTTCATCCCGGGTTAAGTTGCTCCCCCGGAGAGAAGCGCTCCGTGGCTATAGGAACTAAACGCTAGCTTGATGCTTTGCGGTTCGCTCCGTTTAGCTCCGTTGGGGAGGAATTTCATTTAAGACCAATGGACAAACTCAACATCCACGGCCATGACCTTGATGAACAAAAGGGCAGAAAGATCCACAAAAGGGACAAAGAAGCACATCAAAAGAACCTATATTTAAAATCTCCCGAATGCAGGAGAGGGAAGGGGGGGAAGGGGGGGTCGTCGCTCTGACCTTTGTATTCCCAGTGTCTAATGAATGGCACAGAGAACTGTAGGTTGGCTGAATGGGAAGCGCTTCGTCTGTGGCGGATTACATAACACGTGGCCCGTCGCTGCCGGGACCTGCGCTCTAAACCGTCACGCACAGCAGGGACATCCAATCCCTCGCCGACAATAAGACAACACGGACGGAAAAGCCTGGTTTCTTTCCGTGGTATTTAGCTGTGGGTGATTCCTGGGATTACAAGCAAATAATAAGCCCGATGCAACCATTGGGTCCTTTTTCCTCGCTGCATTGTGGGTATACCTCAGCAAACAGCTGCCTTTGAAAACCCACGCTCTCTATCTGGGGGGGAGGAAGTGAGCTTCTGTGGGCTGATAATGTGACCGGCTATTCAAAGAAAGCCACAAACCCGAGTTCCCGAGAGTTACCTGGAAACGCTAATGTGTGCATAATAAGAGTTTTGATGTTGTCACTTTATTTATTTTATCCCTATATTTTAATTGCTGAGAGGTCGCAATTAAATGGTTTCGATTTGTATATATTTTTTAGATTGGAATACAGACAAAATGTAATTCAACTGGTACATTGCACATTATATTACAGTTAATTGAATGCATGTATTCAATTTACCTGCAAAAATGGATTAAGGCAAAAAAGATTTCTTATCCGGCTCCACACCCATCAAAAAATTACAATTAAAGAATCCTCGGGGCACCACCTGCAGGCTCACCACAGACCCCCCCCCCCCTTTCCTCCTGAGACAAAGGGGGGCTTCCACTCTACCGGTGTGTGTGTGTGTGTGTGTGTGTGTGTGTGTGTGTGTGTGTGTCCCCCAGATGGGTACGCAGGCGGGCAGCTCTGCCTTTTGGCCTCGACATGCGAGTGAGCAGCCAGCCGGCCCCCCGGGTCACAGCACCACACCTTTCCTCCCCGTCCTCCCTCCTCCCTCCACCCTCCACCCTCCTCCCCATGAACCCCGTCCTAAATCAAACGTCCGTCCCCACGAGCAAATGCAAAGCTCCGCCTCACAAGCGACGCTGAGTAGCGCTTCCATTAAAATACGCCATGGCTCCTGCGAGGTTCTTCCTCGCCGCTCCGCTTGTTCTTGAGACGCGTCATGGTGCCTCCAGAGCGGGGGCCTTTTTAAAAAGGAGCTCTTTGAAGCCCTTCCGGTGGGTGGATGGAAGCGCTGCCCACCACAGCGCTTACACAACCCACGCACATCATACATACATCCCTCGTCGGCGCTGCACTCAACCTTCCCTCGTCCTTGTATCTCTCTCACTCTCACACACACACACACGCACGCACACACGCGCTGTGATATACGATAGCGGTGTAATCAAAAGCTAGTGTCGGACAAAAAAGCCTTGTGGGTTTTTGTGAGTGCGACATGAAACGCGTGTAATGACAGCGGCAGACTGATTCCGTCACGGTGGCGAGAGCGGCCCGCCGCGGCACCCTGTTGAAAAATATCGCAGTGACTCTGGAGGGCTGATGGGAGAGACGAGCGTGAGAGTGTTGTTCAGAGACGGCCTCTTCCTCGTGTCGTGACAGCCGGGAAGCTCAACTGAAATGCGCAAACTTTTCTCGCTCTCTCGAACCGAGCTGCATGGTTTCAATCCGCTAGGAGCGAGTCCACGGCCAAAGGCCCTGTGGTTACGTCATTGGATGGTTTAGTTTTTTTTTTTTAACCGTTGTGCGTCATCGTCATCAACCGCGATCTAATCTTTCAGTGATTCCCCTTTTCATCCAGTCATTGATGCAGCACACGACATCCACATTTTTGTTTTGTTTTTGCAGTGATGTTTCAAAAAGATACCCGGTTCACTTAATTACAACGGCCGCCGCAAAGTCAACGCCTCACTCATCGTGCGTTCCTGCTACACAGTTGGTACAGATGTGATGCCGGGCGTTTCCTCGTGGCCGAGCAGAGGCAGACGGAAAATGCATATTCATGCGAGTGTTCATTGTCTGGGATAAAAATAAACGGCAACAAAAGAGCACCTGGGCCTGAAGAGCGGCACGGACAGGACTTGTGCGTTTCCTCTTTTCAAA